TGTTCTGCTGTGAGAAGGTTGCAAGCGAGTAGGCAGGAAGGTTAGTTCACTTGTTAAGTGATCACCGCCCATGGACATTTACAATACTAGCCGAGTTGTTGACATGTTACCAACCTTTAAAACAGAGCTCCGATTACCTCACTCTCTGATGACACGCGAAAATATAACGCTTTCACTTCACGCCAGTATTCAGAGGCCGCGGCACTTTCCAGAAAATTCAGCCCATTCGTTCAACAACAGAAATCACTTCTTGCAGCAGTGTTAGTACGCGGGATGATCCACCCGTTAAACTAATGGATAGTCCGGTTCCATGGGTAAATAAAATAAAATACTTAGTTGTCGTCCTTGACTCTAACTCAAATTCAGCCAGCACGTGACTCGGGTCAGGAACAGGGCAGTGGCTGATTTCTTACAAAAAAAACTCGGGATGAAATATGACTTTTGGGTTCGATTTCCACACGTTACAAATCACGTGTGGACACGTGACACGTGACGTACAAATGACCCACAGATTATTGTTTCTGATCTGACTTTTTTTTTAAATTTCAATTCAATACTGGCCTGCGCTTGACTGCAATCCCACCTGATGTTAAGTGGTGATGCAGCCGTTGATGGTAACCGCGCTAACCCAGTAAAAGCCTATTTATATTATGCCCTGAACAGGCCTACGTTAAAAAATGTGTTTGTATATATAAGTAAAACGCACTTACAACACATGATAATGTTTACCTATAGCAAGTAGGCAATTTTTTAAAAGGGAAAGAGACAATAGATCTTATTAGGTATCAGTGGTCATTGGGGCTTACTAGCCAACGCCATCCACACAAAATACTACTGCCTGCACAAAATTTATTGAAGCTACACGTTATAAGATCCCAATTTTAAATTAATGTGCAATATATTATTATTTATAGGATCATTTGTATCCATATTAACATAACGATATCCGTTGGGTTTGCGAGTCTGGCGCCGTCGCAGCAGACGGTGAAGCAAATAGTTGCAAATCAAAACCGTTAACATAACATATCATTATATCGTAGGAGATAAAATAGAATATTAATAAATGTTCTCTGAACAATAAATTGCATAATGATTAATGCTTTAGATAATATATATTCACCATTTATATATTTCACCATAACTTGTCATCATTTTAAAAAGACTATCACTCAGAAAATATTGGTCTGCTTCTTTCTTAAAAGTTAATTATTATTTATTAATTATTACATTGATCATTAAAATAATAAATTCAAAAATGAATGTTTTACTCAATTATTATTCTAACGCAAGTTTAGCAAAGTATATTGGTATCTTGTAATTTGTATTTTATAACCGCGCCAAACAAATAAATAAATAAGAAATGGCGTATTGTAATTTTTGATATCCAAATTATTCGATTGCATAGGATCAAGACTAATGAAGCGCTAGTTTACTTGGATTTAGCGATGTTACTTGGCCTATTTGAAAAAACTTCATTCGATTGCCTAAATCATGACCATCTACCAACAGAGGGTCCATACCAAGTATCAAATCAAGAAGCGCATTTTACCCAACTCGTTACTTTGCATTTTTACATTTAATGAGCTATTTATTTGTGAGGAATTTGCTCGTATCGTCTTATCATATCGTGTCATCGACTTGGATTCAATAAACTCTGAAAATACAGAGTTTATTCAATTCTTCTTCTTTTTCTCGATTCAAAATTGCTATTTAACTCTCCTTCGACCAGTATTTATTTATTTTATTATTTATAGTTTATTGAATTCAAGTCCTTTATCCAAAAACATCAATAAAAGTTCTTCAAATATCCATTACCTAATCAGATCGATCCGCCGCGACCTTTTACCATTGGAAATATCAAACTTCCCGACGTCGACAAACTTAGACGGACCGGGACAGCCGATAGTTGGAGGGTTGTTTTTAATTTAAATACTTTTCACACAAAAGATGGTCAAGCGGACTTTTGAGGAAAATTCGAAAGTGTACGGTTTCTTCAGAAGGTGGATTGTACTACGATTTCATCGGTAAATCCGGGTCGAATAGAATCGTCAAACATGGAATATTAGAAGACCGTTACTAATATTATAAACGCGAAAGTTTGTATGTATGGATGGATGTTTGTTACTCTTTCACGCAAATACTACTCAATGGATTCTAATGAAACTTTACAATAACATAGCTTATACATCAGAATAGCGAGCCGTGATAGCTCAGTGTCCAGGCGCTCGCCTTTATTTCGATATACTCGAGCAACCTGAGTTCGATCCCCGGTGCCGGCACCAATGAAGTTTTTAACTTTAAGTGCTGACTTATCACGTGCTCCGCGGTGAAGGAAAACATCGTGAGGAAAACTGCATATTTTCGAAATAATATCAAAAAGAAATATTTTTCGAAGATATGTGAAGTCCGCCAATCCGCAGTGGGGCAGCGTGGTGGACTATGCCCTGATACCCTCTGTACAGAGGAGGCCTTTGCCCAGCAGTGGGACATGTATAGGCTGTTAATTTACTTTACTTTATACATCAGATATAAATATGCCTATGTGTTATACATAGGCATATTTATATACATATTTTTATGTATATCTGTCTTTCTGTCTTAATACTACAGCTACATAGTCACGGGCAGCTGCTAGTATATAATATATTATTTTTGCTTAATGCATTCCAGAGTCCATTATAAAAAAAATAATATATGAAGCTTTTTCATACATACGTATTTTTGTTTCAGAATTTTTAAAACTTTTATTCAAAGTGTACCTTCTAGTTATTTACTTTAGTTTCCAATCAGATATTTCAAGTGCCTGCATGTCATGTGGGCAATGTCTTTGGGAAGAGAAATATTTATTTTCATTTATTAAAAAAGGACACCAGCAGTACATACATTTAACATTTAAGTAGGAAGATATATACTAAAAACCAGAAAAGAGAACCAAGTATTTGAATTGTGTCGAAATTAGTTGAAAATAAAATTAAATGAAGTGGGAAGTAGTCTTTAAATATTTCAACGTTTACACAAAGGACGTTTACACTTTACTGTAAAGGACGAAATTAATGCAGCAACTATCACGCCATTAATATTAATAAAATGTGGGAAACTCACGGTGACAAGTCCAGAACTGGATGTCGATAAATAAATTATATCGATGGCCCACGAAGATGGACGTTTGGTTTAAAACTCATTAACGGGAACCGTGATCTTTGTTGTGACTGCTGTAAAAGCTTTGGTCGCAAAAAAATTATTACATAAAAATCTGTTAAGCCAGACAAATGCCTACATACTTAACAATATCTGTAAAAAACTTTTCAATTCTATAAAATAAAACTATTTTACGAATTTTTTAGCTTACACTTGAATTATAAATCCCTGACATTTCACTACATAGTATAAAACAAAGTCGTCCCGCTGTCTGTCTGTCCATATGTATGCTTAGATCTTTAAAACTACGCAACGGACCTTGAGGCGGTTTTTTTATTAGATAGAGTGATTCAAGAGCAAGGTTTATGTGTATAACACATTGCACCCGTGCGAAGCCGGGGCGGGGTCTCTAGTACAATATGAAACAGATATGATGTATTTTTTTTAATCTTTTTGTAATATGCGGTAGATATACATACGGCTTGTTACGACGAAGCGCTCCGGCGTCATAAGTGCGCAACAAGGCTTGTTTGCATTTCGCATGTCAAAGCGAGTTCATATCAAAGCGGAACACACCTGTGCCTCATACGGAAATTCCTACGTGCTTAAAAATACACTGAAAATACCATACGTGTATTCAAATAAGTTTGCCGTTTAATATTTATCGTTCTGTAAGTAAGGATTACATAAGTCAAATACTTTCGTCGGTGTGGCAATCAGCCGTTTGGCTAAGTGGCTAAAGCGTCAGGCCGCGAATGCCGAAGACGTGGGTTCGATTCCCACAGCGGCGACAATCTTTTCGTGCTTTTTCTACAAATTTTATTGTTCAATCTTAAGTGCAGAGATTGGCACAATAAAAAAAAAGTGTGTGCGTGTAACTTTTACGCGCGATTGAAGTAAAACTTCTTTGGCGTTGAATGATATATGATCATTGAAATGATTAAATATTTAGTAATGTCATAAGTATATGTCATATTTTAAAAATATGACATATACTTATGACGTTACTTCCGTCAGAAAAAGCGTTACTTCCGTCAGAAAAAATCTGAGTTACTCCCTAGTCGCGCCTAAAAAAGTTTTACTTCAAAAACTAAAATTTATATTCTACTTGTTAATGTCAGAGAAATTCGAACCTACGCCTTTCGGCCAACGCGCCCATCTGAGAGTCTGCTCCGTCCAACTGGTTAAGCGCCTTTTATACTCACGGCGCAAAAATCTCTACATACTTTTTTGCATTTTAGTAATGCTAGGGGCCACCTAGTAAATCTTCGGCATGCGGACACTCGCAAATAACATCTTAACACGAATAATTGAACAATATATGCTGCCATTACTATTGAAGATTGTGCAAACTCACACTAAATCATATATAATATTTGAAATAATGTTGTCATAGTCAAAACCAGGTAAAACGATCAGATTTCAGTTTCTTGTTTTGGTCTTTTGTTACATCTTATGTTAAGTGGCTACCGCCACCCATGGACTTTTACAAAGCGGCAGGGGTCGCGCACGCGTTGTCAACCTTCGATAAAGTAGGCCCCGGCTACCTCACTCACCAGGCGAAACGCGAAAGTATAATACTTGCAACTCAGGCCGTTGTCTGTGAGGCCGTGTTTCTTCTCCGGACGAGTCTGCCCATCGTGCAAGAGCAGAAGCGGCCACCTGCCCCTACTACAACAGTTGGTGGACAGAAAGGTTAGGATTGTCTGCATATAAAAACGCCTACTTTTACTGCCCTACTAAGCCAGATTAGCTGAACAAAATCAAATGTAAGCAGGAACGCAACACAGCGTCATTGTATAATAAGTAAATGCCATTTAATGCTCGTAAGTATTCCCATTGAGCTTTCAAACCACAGAGCAATGTTGCAAAGTTATGTGGAATGTGTTATGCATTTTCACGAGTTCGGAGTACTTAGCGAAGTGGAGCTTAAGCATCGGTGAGGCTCTTCCCACAGTAAGCGTCGCGCCGCGACAATTTTGCTCTGTGCGCTTTGGGAATGTTGCTAGAGTTAATTTCATTTAATACGCAACTGCTGTTCAAAAGTGAATCTCGCTTTTGCCTCATAAGCTGTTGCTCTTTAGAATGGAGCTCGAAAGCGTGTTCAGTTATACGAGATTCAGAACAAATCGACTATGATACGATGATGACGAAACGTTCAGGACTTATGAAGAATGGAATCCTATTTCGTATGTGTTGTTTCTGCTTTGTGTGAGACTGGTGAGCGGTTGATTGTTCCAACCTTTGCAGACTGGTTCGCCATAAATTATATATTATATTAGATTTTCAGATGATAGAAATTAAAATTAAAATTCATTCCATCAGTCTTGTGTAACAACAGACACAAGCGTGGACTTACCACAGGAAAAATTAAATGCGTACGATGAGATTTATCAACAGGCTTCAAATAGGTTCTCAATTCGACTGTATTTTTTTATATTTTTTTAAAATATGTAGAAAAAGTGCGAAAATATTGTCGCCGCTGTGGGAATCGAACCCACGTCTTCGGCATTCGCGGCCTGACGCTCTAGCCACTGAGCTAAACGGCTGATTGCCACACCGACAAAAATCTTACCGTCTTTTTCTAAATTATTTCTTAACATTTGAAGCAATGCTTGGCACATCTATTGTTATTTTTTTTTTATGTGAAAAGTTGCCAAACGAGCAAACGGTTCACCTGATGGTAAGTGAATACCGTCGCCCATGGACATCTGCTACACCAGAAGGTTACAGATGCGTTGACAACCTTTTGAAGATTGGGCTCCGGCTACCTCACTCACCAGACGAAACGCGAAAGTATTTGTCGTACTTCCACTTTACGCCGATCTTCTGTGAGGTCGTAGTACTTACCCAGACGGGCCTGCCAATTCGTGCAACAGCCGAGGCTGCTGCATGGCCGTATGCACGGTGGTAGACCGTTAAATGTTATATCCTTTCCAGCATACAAACAATTTCGAATATCGTTTTACAACGATAATTCGAACGAGAGATGTCGCCATTGCTTTTTTAGAAATTTAAATTGTTTATAGTGCTAATCTTTGCACTAACTGATTGAACATTAAAATATGTAGAAAAAGTGTGAATGCCGAAGACGTGGGTTCGATTCTCACAGCGGCGACAATCTTTTCGCAATTTTTATACATTTTAATGTTCAATCTTAAGTGCAAAGATTATCACTATAAACAATATAATTTTTTTTATATTTGTTACCTCAGAACTTTGGTCTGCATGAACCGATTTTGATTATTCTTTTTTTTTATTTCAAAGCTGTTAAGCTTATTTCCCATATTAATTTCATTGGTATTGGGATCTCGGGCTCCGGAGATGCTTAGGGAACTCCTGAAAATCAATTACAAAATTAATACAGAGCGAGATTTTTGAAGTTGATTTTGTTTTTCGTTAATTTTACTAGAACGTGTCTGCCATAATAAAGGTAATATGTAAAAAATTAAATACCACATAAAACATGTGTTGCAGTAAATGAAACAATTTTATAGTAATTATAAACCACACTTACATGATTTGCGATCACTGTGACATAGTTTAAGTAATTCTTCCTATACAAGTTGGCTATTGACTATTCAGAAAACACAATCCTTAGTTAATTTCTTTGTAATTGCAACAAGCGTGTGTTTTTATATATTTAATTATCACTTAATTATTCTAAGTTCTAAGTCCTATAGAACTACACCAATTGTGTATAATAAATAAGTAATGTAATTTGAGTGCCTCAGTTTCGGTACGCTAGTGTTATATATATATATCGTATATAATATCATTGCATATAGTACATTATTTAATAAACTAAAACTGTAACATAGTTTTGAACGTTGTCTACCTTTATAATTTTTATACATACAAGTACATTGTGCGCGTATCCTCAAAGAATCTTTGGAGCGATATTAGCCGAATTTCCGTATACAGTTTAAAAGTTCCCCGTACAATAGGAAAGAGCATTGGAACGTTTTCCCGAACTTGTTCCTCTTAAAGTGCTTGACCGTGTTTCCGTGATATTTCAACTTATTATAGTGGAAACAACTCGCAACTAGAGACCGTCTCATAGGGCTCAAGCCGTTTTTGGTCTTTTTGCTTTCGGTCATTTTACAAAGTGAAAGACAAATTACGATTAAATTTGTTGGGAAAGTAATAAAAATCAGTGGTTTTTTTCCCAATGTGAATCATATTTTTTTATGGAAAAATAGGCCACCTGATGGTAAGTGCTCACAAACTGGCAACAGCAGAGCAGTCACCAATGTTTCGCCGGCATTTGGGAATAAATACGGTCTCTTCTTGAAATAAATAAAGATTTTTATAAAATAAACTATGTTTATAAACTATTCAAAAGTTATAGCCCATCTTTCTCGTCACCTGTCGGATTCTGTAAATCGTTTGTAATGTATCAATTTAATATTAAACAGAATAAAACTCTAAATTTAGTATGATTTAAGAATATGCGCTTTTCGCGTAAACTGTGGTAGGAGCACACAGCAACTTATAATGTATGTGTAAGTATTTTATCACAGTAATATTGGGAGAAGTTGGGAGATAGACCACGTCTTCGTTTTACTTAAACTAACTTGAACCCGGCTTCACCTGGGGAGAAGAAATTTAGTTAAATTCTAAAATATCCGAAATCGTAACGCTGAGCTTTACCATTTTTTCAGCTACAGGATTTGTATTACAAGTACTTAAGTATATATATTAGATATATGTATATATATTTATATTTTTTCAGCGAGTTTGCTTTTATTACAAAGAGTACATTTTATTTTACATGTCACACCATCCGTTTTACCACACCACAGGTTGACTGATAGACGAAGAGCACAGGCATTAGGCTTCTTCTGCCAGTCAACCAATATATGTTTAGTGTCCTGTGTTTGGAGAGGGAATGCAATAAACTTCAAATAAACAAATAAACCACAAGCCATTTGTTTATTTAAACATTTCACACCGCACTTTCCGAGTATCGAAAACATGGATGCATTCCGTTCTCCAAATCACAACGCGTCAACGCATCAAATACGTTACTCATACACTCATACACGATCCAAGAGTAAAAGTTTACACAGCTCAGTAAAGTTATTCGAATTGAAATAATTAATACGAGGCGTGTCGATAAGCGCTCGTTGTTTACGTATGCATCACACAGTCACCGAATCGCGATGTGTCGTAAACAAACAAGTATAATATTATGTTTTTCTTTGATTTTGCTGTTAATAATAAACAATCATGCTATATATGAGGCGCGGCGATAACACCGGAGATAGTTCGTCGCTTAAAGCGAACGGGGGCGGTTTAGTGAATGTGATTTGATACCAGTTTGAAATTATACTCGAAAGTGTGTGCTAAGGTACGTGGTATCAATTTGCTTCTTGAAGTTTCCAACAGCCTTTAAGGTGTGGACTTTACGAGGGGGATTAGTAATGTATTCTAGTAGTTTATAATTGTGTTTAATGATTAGTAAGTTAATCAAGATTACACGGATTTTCGGCTCTTAACTTTACAGGCCAACTCAAAGCTGCGTTTATAACAATAGATACGTTGTCATTAGTTGTAGATGCGTTGGTCGTTGATCTTCCATCGACACTTACATTGAATCTATTAAAAAATCGTTTTAAAATTGAAATTGAACTACTTTTTTACTACTAACTTTAACCTAAGAGTTATTCGAATAAATTCTGGTTTCTCCATTATTTTCGGTTCAGATTGCTTAATGATTTCGTAATTACAGAACATGCAATTTAATATTGAGCGCATAAAATGTTTACTTCTTAGTCAGATCTTGAGTTCCAGTTAGATCCAGCTTACTTAACTAACTTCTTGCGTCGTCGTCGCAAAGACTATTTTTATTGTTCGCTATATATAATATCTCAAAAGTCTCCCTCCAATTATCAGCAATTTCTTTCAAGTTGCCCATACTCCAATCTTCGTCTATTACTTTCACTTTAGACATAAAAGTAAAGTAACGGCCTGTAAAAGTCTTACTGCTGGGCAAAGGCTTACTCCGTACGGATCAGAGCATGTTTAGATATACTACGGAAATATTAATTCCTCTTCAAATAACAATAAAGTAAATTAATGACCATCAATTTAATTTAGACTTTAGATTATTTTAAAGATTCTTGCCTCTGCATCGCAGTCAAATATGTTCCAAGGTATCGTTTTCAAGTTCTTCTTCTCTTAACGCGGTTGGAACTTAATAAGATCCTTAAGCAGTACACACCAGCTCTAGTTATCGTCACGTGACGTCACGTATCTTGAACTCTATGTAACTTGTGTACTTATCTGCATTATTGATACGGGACCTGACGTTACACTGATGAGACCGTTGTTTTACTGCACTTGTATAAAGTGAATTAAAACCCAAATTATGCATTTTTTATGAAGATCTCTTTCCTTTAAAATGTTCATTTATGCTCCAAAACGTTTTTACCTAACAATTTTCTAACTGTAAGTTGGTTGATGTCTGTTTGAAATATAACTTATATTTGTACTTAAACCAATGTGTCTTTCTAAAACGAGGGTATCTATTAGTTTAGAGGGAAATAATGATATCAGAACTACATATTAGCTAATAATATATTTATCCAAGTAACTAAACACTTTTTATTTGCTTATGATGTCTTGGTGGCGTAGTTGCTGGGGTCTTGGGTTCGATTCCGACACGGGAAAAGTATTTATGTCACACAGAGACAATTGTTCCGGATCTGGATATTTATTCCCAACGTGGGTTAGCGTCAGGCTAGCGGCCGTTCATAAAAAAATCTTGTCGTTACAGGAATGGTTAAAATATTAAGCCGACCCGACTGACGTATTTTTATGTGAAAACAATTAATACACATAAACAAAAATAAAGTGAGAAAAGGACAGGAGAAAGAAGAAAAGGCTTGTCGTTGTTTCATAATAACGTAACAAAATTTACTGATTATAGCATAGCATCTCTTTCAGTCATCTATTTCATATTTATGTCGGTTAATTAAGTCGTCAGCAGTAAACGCGATGTTTCCGCGATTGCAGGCTCTGAGAAACCTTATCTGTAATTGCAACTTCGTATGTTGTGTAGTACTCGCTGATAAATATTGCACATCGACTTCTTGAATACGACAATCGGCTAATTTCTTCCACACGTAGCACTGAGAGAGCGATTGTCTCTTTCCATTGTGCATTATTTCTCGCCGAAATTTTAAATAAGGGTAGGGCCACGCAACGGTATTCACTATTGCACGAATGGACAGGTGCGTCCTGGTTACCGGCGTAAAGTAGAAGTGTTACAGTTCTGCCTTTTTTTCACTTTACCATAAAAAAATCGTGACTACAAATCCAACGTTTTCGTTCCAGATGGAAACGTTCGCGGTACTCCTTCTACTAACGATGACGCTCACGATCGAGGGCAATCCGGTGATGACGCGCCAGGGCCTGGTGCGAAAGAAGGATCGGGAACAGATCTGCTCGAACCTACTCAACTTCAACAAGCTGTTCTACGCGTTGGAGGGCCAGAAGAACGTGAGCGGTGTTCCGGCGGACATGAGCGTACATTGGAAGACCGGCAACGTCTACTTCACGCTGATCAGCGAGGAGATGAAAATGACCTTACAAGTGCTGCGCCCCAGCGGCGAGGTGGACACGATAAAGGTCGCCGGCCTCGGCCAGTCAACGTGCGTGGACAACGTGAACGACGTCGTTTACCTGGCCACCGACAACGGAGTGTACAAATATAAGGAGGACGGCTCCATTGAGCTATACACGGCTTTGGGGGAGGACGTTATGTACGCGGCGGTGAGCAGCGACGGGGCGGTCATGTACGTGGCGACCTGGCCGCAGAACCGCGTCCACAAGATAACGAACGAGGGCCAGAGACAGGAGACCTTCCCGTCCATACCGAACGGACACGGCCTGACGGTGGACACCAGGAACAACATCTATTTCGTCGCGACGAAGACCACTTACATCCTAAAATACGGGTACAGCATCCCGATCAAGATCAAGGGGCTGCCCAACGACAAGATGACGGGCGTTTTCGTCAGCCGCTCGGATGAGGTGTACGCGATGGACGAGAACAGCAATATTTACGTGATAGACGCTGACAACGCGATCGCGACACACCTGGGCTCTTTCAGCGTGAGCGGGGTGAATGCATTCGCGATGGACTCCGCCGACAACGTTCTGATCGGCGTTAAAGGCGCCCTGCTGAAGTTCAACGCGTTCGAGAAGAATCCCTGCGTGCAGTTAGAGAAGTAAACTACTCTGTGCCTCGTTGTATCTGCTAACACTCCGCTGCGGCAACTAAACTTGTATAAGTATAGTTGTTGGAACATACGAATTATTCACCGTCAAACCGTTTTCTATATTAACCAACACTATCCAATCGTTCTGTAAAACTTCTGCTCCAACATGTCTATTTGAATAGTTTTCTAACGCAGAACATTCTTGCGTAGATAATTATGTCGAATATTAATTTTCAAGTAATATTTTTTATTACGCATTCCATCTGCTTGTGTTCACTATTTTCTGTGTTTTTTTCTCTCAAATTTCGAAACTGAAACATACTTTTAACAACTTTTAAATAATGGAGCGGACATACTTAAATGTATTGGGAAGTCCCACTCGAAGTTATTTCAGATTTTTACCAGAATACAAATAAAGCAGGTTGGTAACTCTATCGGCACTGGAATGAGAATCCGTGACCTTAAATAGCTTAATGACATGAACAATTAAATTGCATTTTACAAATCCAAATTCTTATTTGACATTATAGCCGGTACTTACGCTAGGTTTAAAATCTAAAGAGAACTGAGCAGGGTATTTTCAATTTATGGCTAATAATAATCTATTATAAAATTAAATAAATTCGAAATCAGTTTATTCTTCCTGCCACAAAAAAATAATTTACATAACCATTATTATGTCTGTTGACAACAACATTTTGTTTAGAAAGAATCAAAAAGGAAAACGCCACAGCAGACGACGCAAGCACAAAAGGCGAACCACAACCACAACGGAGTTTGCCGAGGAAGAAGAAGAATGAAATTAAATTTACAACAACAAGATATTTTCTCTACTAAATAGTTCATGTAATGTGGTTCCTACATTTTGATCTGATACTTGTGTTGTTCCCATTTTTTTATTTATTTCGTTAAATGTAATTTTTTAATAAAATAGTTATTTGTTATTAAAATTTGTTGATTATTGTTTTAGTTGTTTTATTAAAGCGCCATCTGTTAAGTCAAATGCTAACTGTTTCGCATTAAATACATTACAAACGAATTACACATTTTGTTTAATTTAGTAGTTTATCTACCATTCCAACGATGGCGCTGATAAAAATGTTACATTTATAATCGATATTGAAAATGAATATCATATTCATCCCTTTATTATATTGAATAAGTTTTCTGCTGTGCAAAAAACATGATGCTTTGTAAATCAAATATTTTCAAATAACTACTAAAATAGTGTGAGAGGGATCAAAGAAATTTATAGTATGCTATGATATTTAATTTATGCTACCAGACTGATTGTTAGAAACAAATGCACTGAAATATGAAAAAATGCCAAGAATTCAATAATATTTTTGTTTCATGAACCAATGGAGCCAGATAATTAATACCGTTTATGGACCACCACAGTCCCCTTTAATAGGTGGATTGTAGTTTTATGTTTCTTTATATAGAAGGCATCGATTTCTGCAGTTACCAAATGAAACGCAAAAATGTAAACATTTCTAATTTAGAAAGGTGTTTTGTAAGGTGTGTGGGGATGAATGGAAAAGTTTGGATTTACAATAGTTGTATCTTGTCCATTCATGCCACATGGCTGTATTGTCCTACAGCGGTGAAAAAATTATGAGTGCAATCTATTTACTTTTTTTGTATAGAAAAGAAGTATAAAATAAGAGTATTTTTATGTATACATAAAATATTCGTACCTAATCTTGGACATTGTTAATAAATACATTATTAAAAAGTTTTTAAAGGAGTATGATCTTTTGAGAATTAAGTAGGTACAAACTACTAATTTACAAGTATAAATAATAGATTACCGATTATATTAATACAGAACTAAATAATAACGTCAGAAAATATAAATGAATGAATCTTATACTTTTTAAAATTTTGTATAATGGCAGCATTGAAGCTTCACAAACACAACCTCAAACCGTGCAAGGTTCGACAGTCCTTCTGTCATTTGTCAGACAATATTGTCATACGCGTCGGAGATGTGTCAGTGAGCGATCGTTTGTCGTTTGGTGATATATATTTGTGTCGTAAATGTGGTGTGTTAGTGTGATAATGAGAAAACACATATTGGACTATGTAATTATCAAGTGATGAAAGTGTTTTAAGTTCAGTGTCTTGTTAAAAATAGTTATATTCACTTGTATGTCATCGGACTCTTCAATATGGCGGCCCCCCGTCACAAATCACAACAGAAAAATATATCCTCAATATTTTCAAAGTTGCATGGCGCTTTTTCGGACGCTGTATGTCCAACAAAGCTCGCGACCGACAAAAGAACCCTTGATAAGACTTGGAAATTGATGGATAAAGTTGTGAAACTGTGTCAACATCACAAAATGAATTTGAAAAACAGCCCGCCATTTATTCTTGATATTTTGCCGGATACATATCAGCGGTTGCGCATTATTTACTCGAAATACGAGGACAATATGCAGGAGTTAAATAACAACGAGCATTTTAACATGTTCATAATAAATTTAATAAGAAAGTGTAAGCAAGCCATCAAGTTATTTAAAGAGGGCAAAGAGAAAATGTTCGATGAGAATTCGCATTACAGACGTAATCTCACGAAGCTTAGCCTCGTGTTTAGTCATATGCTTAGTGAATTAAAGGCAATGTTTCCGAATGGAACTTTCGCCGGTGACCAGTTTCGCATAACGAAGAGTGATGCTGCGGAGTTCTGGAGAACGAATTTTGGAAACAGGTAAGCCCCTTTTCTTTTCTGATTCTCTTTGATTCGCGTTATAAAGTCGCTCATACTTTTTAAATAGAAATTTTAATATTCTGCTACATAATACTCTGACTAACTCTCGAAGACATGAGAGTATACATCAACATGTATGTATGTATGCATTTAAAATATTAAGTTGAATTTATGTATTGAAAAATTGTCAATTACTTTGGGGTTACTTATTCTGTCTATTGAGGATGTCGGAAATGCCTTAGCATTCCTTCATTAACTTTATAACAATAACTATTTTAGACCAATATGATCATGATAAGCAAATCTACTATGAAACTTGTTTAGAAGATGAAACTCACCTAAAAAACGAGTCAAGATGATTATTCATTCTTTTGTGCAAACCATAATAAGAAAGCACTACTCTCAAATATGATGACATTGTCACTCCTACATCACACCTGATTGATCCTGTTCATCACACCAACAAATATATTCGTGTTACAAAATGAAACATTGAAATGAAATTAATTTATGGTTTTACATGGGAGTCATGTCACATATAAGTTATACTCATTTTCATAATAAGTGTTTCAAAGGAAAATGCATTATAAATTTAGTAAAGTAATGTAAAATAAAGATTAAATTATTACATTTTCTTTATTTCTTCATTAAAGATGCATATACTGCTAATTTTCATTAATACACTAAAACAATACACTAAAACAATACACTAATTGATATGATTGATGCCTCTGTAATTGAAGCTAATTTTGAGGATTTATTAAAGCTAATTTAACAGCCTGGTTAAAAGATCTTAATTTATAGTTGATACCTGCAACTTCATCTTCATTCGTTGATATAATAACAACTACATTGCTTACTTTAAAGAAAAAAATCATTGTTTCTTATAACTTTAACATCAGATCAAGTTTTTGTGAAATAAAACTTAAAAGAACTACTTGAAATCTATTAAATAGGTTTTTCTGTGACCTCTATTATTTCATTGGTGTAGATATGTTTTATCTAGCATGGCAATAACACACATAGTAAATACAGTGGTTACAAAAATTGTTGTTTCTAAAAACCTTCATACTTACATTAAATGAAGATATCACAATAACCCGTCTTTTAGATAAGGGCTAAGTGTCTTAGAAATAAAACTTATATAAAATAAATGAAATCCACCGAGTAGCTTTCCGTGATATATGCAATGGTAAACATTTATCATTTTATAAATATGTATATTTATATGTATATATTAAAGATGAATTTTATCTAGCGCAGCAAGAAAACATCTCTTTCAATGATATTTTTGCCAAATATTTTAATACATTAATAAATATATCTGTACTAGCAGACCCGCCAGACATCCTGTACACAAGGCTTAAATTCGAAAACTTAGAGATAAAAAAAATTGTAGTGGACCGAATTGTGAATCTAAAGCATTCTAGACTCGACCTGAAGATGCACAAAAAATTTCATTAAAATTGGTCCAGCCTTTTAGGAGGAGTTCATTGACATACACACATACAGAAGAATTATATATAGTATATATAAAGATATATGGGCCCAATTTTATTTATGAATGTCTCATAAATAAAAGATTACTAGGATTGTAACTCTCAGAACTAAAGACATTAATTTTTGGATGTATTTTCATAATAGCCTGCATGCAGAAGTATGTATATTTAATACTTTTATCACAAATTGCCATATGCTTGTCAACCATTTGTTACTATGTGGTGGTAAAACGCCTTACCTTCAAGATTGATAACATTAAACCACTTATGGATTTTTAAAAATGGTTTTTGTTTAATTTAATCCGAAAACATTACAACCAATGATTTGAACATTTATAAGTTTAAAATAAAACATTCTATCAGGAAGTTAAAAATAAAGTTCATGTTTGGCATACCAGAAATTCAAATCATGTTGTTACATTCTCACATAAAACAATGCAAGCTGTGAGATGTATAATATATTCCCAAGTCATTACAAACACTATAAACAAAGGATAGCATTGTCTCATTATGGGAAATGTTAATGAACACCACTTGTATGCACAACATTAGAGATTTTTGTGTTTTAATACATAATAAAAGCAACTTCCAGTAATTTGGTCTTTACAGTCATTGAGATTCTAATTAATAAAGTGATTATATTTATATTTTATTTGTTTACCTTATCTGCAATCACATGGTTAAGTTATTTGTACTTTATGCACATTTAACTCAACTATGTTACTAGTAATTGCAGATATGGATATCACTTTTTTACTGTTTTGTTGTTACTTTTTATTGGCATTTTACAGGATTTCAATCATGAGTGTTACTCTCACAAATTGATAATGTGAAAACCAGATGCTTATTGCAAATATTTCATGGTCTGTCTGACAATTAGGCTACAAATGATACCAAACTATGGCATATGAGACTATAAAAGATTCACAATGAAATGTGTACAAGATTGTATATAAAACAAGTATAATTCTTTCTTAAATAGCATACATGTATACAACTTTTGAATCATAATGGGTATAAAAAAAAATTAAAAAAATAATACATAATACAAAAGAATTGTAAAATTCTCATAGCATAGCTATCATCATAAATGCTAATGTTAAGAACAAAACACTTCCGCCTACATGGATCAATGCTATTACTGCATATGGAAAATGATAGTTTTTGTCTTTCTTGCCTGTTGCATTTTTCATTACTGATTATTACACACAAACAATTCAATATTCCCTGTCAGAGAGGCATAATTTAACATGTAAGAAATTCATAGTCAGTAGTATTTTTTTTTCTTGGCATTTGCTTGTTCACAGCAGTTGCTATGGAAATATAAGCAAATCATGACTTTCAGTACTACAAATTCTTTAGGCAATTACTTTGCCTGTGAAAGAAAAAGGCATTTACATGTATGAAATATATAATTTGATACCTAATGTTTTTGTATAAAGCTTTTCTGCATAACTAGCAGGCCCAAAAGACATTGTCCTGTACATGTGACCTAAATCCTACAACAAGACCATCCATCAACCTTAAGATACACAAAAAATTTCATTAAAACCGGATTTCAGTGACTTACACACTTACAGAA